AATTCTACTAGCATGACCTTTCTAAAGTGTAAACCAATCAAGGTATTTTCTTCCTAAAACCTTCCTGAGACTTCACAGTGAAACCTAAGCTCCTGTCAGGGCTCACAACTATTTCTCATACATTTATGACTGTAACTTTCCAGTAAGAGATGTATTTTCCATTGCAATATACACATATAGAAAAAGAGAAAGATTATTTACAAAAAAAAGCATTTCCCTTGCTATGTGAGATATATTCCTTTTTTTTATGTGAAATATATTCTGATATTTTCTATTTCACTCTTTTCAATACAGGTGATGACCAATTGCACATACCATTAATGAATTGAGACACACCTCATAAAAATGTTGGCCTACTACAGCCCTTTACTGGAACCTATGTCATTCTGTTTTTCTGATCTCATCATTTCAGTGTATGTTTTCAGTACATTATAATTATATGCACACTGGGAAATGGGTTCATGTATACTCCCCCTTGCCCTAGTGCCCTTTCCTCCCTCTCCTTCCGCAGATCCTCTTCCCATTTCACATCACTCAGCACACCTCTTTGACTCTGCATTGCCTCAGATCCCTCAATGTATAACACTGTCAGTATTTCAAGTCTGCTACTTGCTCTGCCTGAAGTAACCCCTGTAACTCACTTCCACTACTTTACTAACATCCTGTGCTCACAGACACAGACAATCAATCACCTCACTTACTTGCTGACCAACTTCTCTGCACTGATACATGTATAGCACAATGGTTAGTAGAATGCTAACCATTAGTAGAGTGCTCTCCCGGTCTCTCCCTTACCTCCCCCAAATCCAACCTACGAGCTCCTATTTCATGTACTTATGCCCCATCCACTAGTTCTTCCCATTTCTGAGAACTCAGTGCTCAGAAAACAGTACCACCTCTAAGAACGAGTATTAAGTAAAAGAAAAAGAAGCTAATATATAAATAAAGGTACATTTTAAAGGGTGAAAGAGGAAAAACAATCATATTACAATTGTATACACACACAAGATAGTTAAAGAGTTATACTATTAATTGCTATTAGCTCATTGAAAGGAAGGGTATAAACCTATAGTGCTTGATCAATTTTTCATGCCTGTATCTTGTAATATGAGCAACTGCTTTGAAGATAACAATATGCAATGTACTAACCATGGTTACTCTCCTACAATCTTGCTTTGGTATTTTATACCATTGTTTTTATTGCTTGTTTTACTTTTCTTTAAAATAAAACAAAGCATAATATACACTTACCTTACCACTTCATTTACAAGTCCGGATCGGTCTGCACAGAAATCTACTTTGATAATCACAGAAGACCCCTGTTTTACAGCACCACAGGTTGGAAAAATGTCGATAGGTAACTGGCCCTCGTATTCCACATTAAACAAACCTAGGTAGAGTAAAGATGATAGTTTACATATCTACTCCTTTTTTTTTCTCCGGTACCGGGAACCGAACTCAGGACCTTGCGCTTGCCAGGCAGGCGTTCCTTTTTATTTTATAGAAAAAAGGTAAAACAAAATTTCTTAGCAAAATAATAGGAGAATAACAATAGTTAATACATTGCATGTTGTTATTTTTAGAGCAGTTGCTCAAGGTACAAGACATGGGCATAAAAATTTCTCCAACCACTATGAGCACACACCTTCCTTTTCAATGAACTAAGACACTAACACTACAACTGACTTGCTTTTTTTCCCTTTTCCCTACTGTCCTCTCCCCTTTCACCCATCATCATCCCTTTTTCCTTTTGAACAATGTCTTCCCATTTCACAATATTGTACATTTTAGACCTTATTTACCCTTTCAGTTTCTCACACCGGGGAGACAATACCATGTTTGTACATGCTAGTCTGATTCATTTCACTTATGGCTACAGTCTCAAGTTGCATCTACTCCTACAATGTTACATTCACAATCTCAGTAGGGGTTAGGTACTTGGATGACTCTACAAATGTGAGCTTAGTTTTAGAATTTAACTCTCATCAACAGGTAAAAGATATTACCCACTTACAACATTCAACAAACAGCTGTTGCAGCAGATTAGATTTGTTTCAGTTTGGAAGGTAAGAACAACTCACATTTCACAGTATTCAGTTAAAACACACCTAACCAAGTTAATACAGATGCTTCATGCTCACAAAATAATACTATAATACTTAAAAACAATGT